AGCAGAGGACAGGTCTGTGTCCCTATATGAGAAGCTAATTTCTGCATTATCAAACAAATCTAATTCTGTCAAGTTCCAAGACTGATCTGACATAGCTTCTGCCATGATAAAGTTCCCCTTTAAGTTTCCTGAGCTCTAATGAATATTAAGTCTTCTGTAATGCCAAAGTACTTTATGCAGCAGTTTCAAGAGGTATCCATGTCTCTTTCAGCCAGGATAATTGAGACGATCATAGAAACCACTGTATTGCTTCCATTAAAAACTGATCCTGATTATTTGTCTAGATCAATTACAAAAGATCACAGCCTACAAAATTGCCAGACCAATCAATGATCCTAACTTTTTCAAAATATATAAAATGCTTTGACTTTTTGTGGATTATGCAATATGAATAGTTACTTCACCTCCCTAACCCTTTTGGCTCTGTATTGTTATAGATTTTCCTTCAATGATAGTAAATTATATAATCAGTTATTTCCATGGTAATTTTATTTACAAAAACTGATGCTTTCCTATCAAATGTTTAATAGAACTTCTCATCCCCTGCATTTATTTTGCATAAGCAAATAAAAGACCATCGTTCCTCTACTTAAGTTCTCTGTTTTATTAAAAACTCTCAATAAGGAATATTGTCAAACAACTTCCAAATGCTATTTAATTCCTTCCATCACAGAATTTAAAATGACTTCATTTCCATAAAATCTATCCAATATATTCCATTCCCTAGATCTGCCAAGTGAATTATGACCGTATAATATATCTCTGTCCAATTTAGTCAAATGCTAATAAATGTTTCCATATTACCAGTGTAGGAAACTTCACCATCCCTTTGATCAAACAGTATGGACTACATGTACTATTCATGGACGTAAAGAAGTCAGAATATTACAAAATTTCCTTCCTTGTAATCTGATGAATGACTATGGAAAATTCTACCAATTTACAATGCAGCTTGTTCTCACAAAACATTTGAAATAATCAAACCAAAAAATATTCACTACAACTTGTTGGATATTATTAGGAATAGATCAATGACCATTTATATCTAATGGTAAACAACGTTAAAATCCTTCCAAAAATAAATCAATCAAAGATCTCTTTTTTCACAGCATATATCCACTAATCAAAGAAATGCATTCAAATTCTGAAAGCTGAATATCCTCTTCAGCTTATTGTCTGAACAGCAAATGAATACAAATTTCTCTAAAATTGACAACTCAGCAAAAAACAGAATTATGTTCCACAGCCTAACAGAACTAATCGACTTCTGACTTCACTAGAGACCTGAGAACCTGCATTATATTATCTATAATATGTATGTACTGTCCTTCAACACCAATTAACAATACTATTATATAACATATTTCTAGAGCAGTAATGTCACCATCTCTCTCTAGCCAACAGATGTAAACCTTATGTAGATACCATCAGAACTGTCACAGCCTCAGCATTGTTTGTTCCAACAGACATTTTATACTTCAGCATTACAAAGCTTATTTTTTTCTCTCTTTGATCAGTGACAATTTTTCTGCCCTTTGTCTTCCTAATCAGGGTCGTCTAGTTTTCACATAAATTCCATTCGTGATTACTTAACAATTATTGTACAATCATCAACCACGCCAGACTTTCTAGTTAGTCCTTGTCACATCTAATCACCATCACAGTTAAGTGCCAAAAAGCTAATCTACAATATTACCATTATTCAGTAAAGTCGCCTACTTTTTACCATCTATTGATTTTGGAGAAGTAATTTCAGATTTTCTCATTTGCTATAGTTGCAATGTTCAGGTGTGTTATAATTTACTGCCTACAGAAATCTCCTATATCAATGATTTCCTTCATTCTCATTATGGATTCCACTCGTTTTATATGTTTATTGCATTCTGCTTTAGATCTTTTATGTCTTTGTTGCTAGTTTGTCCAAATACAGCTTTTATTTTCTCAACAAATCTGTTCAAATTGATACGGAAAACTTTTTTTTGAATTGTAATTTTTTTTTCTATTTTTCCAAGTTCATTTATTTCTCAATACTCCAATAACACAGATGAAAAACATTTCTATTTTCCATGAATATTGTGTTTCAGACTGTCAAATTCCAAACATATTAATCTAAACAGAGTATATAACACTCTTGGCTCATAACTGTCCTATTCCAAACAACTTATGAAGTATCCACATAGAACTATTTAACCCACATGATACAGATACACAAGAACCTGACTGAAGCCATATACTAAACCCTATGACACAAGACTACCCACAGGTCCAGTACATGTGTATTACACCTTTGTACTGTAAGCTATAATTACTATATTTGATTGACAATTGTTCAATACATTTGATCTATCATCATAAATGTCACAGATATAAAAACACCTATTATATCTACTGTCCTTTATAAACTGGTCATCATTCAAACTAATTAACTCAATCAGGATAAACTAGAACTGACCAGTAATGGTCACCTTTTTGTTGAAACATTTAGAAACCCCCCAAAAAAGGGAGATAATGTAAAAATTAAATATCTGAACAATATGAACTATTTAAATGTATTCTTTCCAATCTAATTAAGCTTTCTACTGTTGTCATACAGCTTCAGTTCCTTCCTTTGATTTTGTCAGGTTTAATGGAGTTTTTATTTAATTCACATTGGTATTAGGTATTTTTGTTAATACTTTTTTTGGTATACAGTTGTACAGATTCATTAAACTATTTAGTAATATGGCTATTTAGAAAGATCCATCAATTTTTTTGCAGTATGTCCTGACAGAAAAATTTACTTCACTCTATGTCCAAATAAAATATACCTGTTTTGCGCCACAGTAGATTGAATGAAGTTCATACAGAATATAACAAACGTACATTTATTACCTGACTTTGATTGTAACATTATCTAATTGATGTTTTTTTGGAGTGGAATACTTCTAAATCTTAGAAATTACAGAAAACATAAAATTTTACAATATCATATAAAATATTCCTGCTAACTAAAACACATAAAGGATTACCATGAACAAAACTGGCCATTGCAGGAGTTATTTTAACTGTGAATAAAAAAAAATAATGAAAGCATTTTTATGAAAAGAAATTTATTAGTTTTATATTTTGTAGAGTGAAGATCCACCCTGTACCTCATTTCATTTTATTCTTTGCTTGAAGCAGATGTTATAAGCAATGATAAACATCCCTGTAACATTATATCGCTCAAACATTCCTTCTCTTAATTGGTTATTGTGTCTTGTCATATGAATGTTTGCCTTACAGTAAACAACATAAATATGATGAATCTGGACACACTAATCATAAGTCTTTTTTTTAATGACAATGTTATTTGTAAAATTTTACAAACAATGCGTGGAAACATGTCAATCTCATGAAATTACTACAGCAATCCCTAAAGTGTTGTTGTTAAAACAGTCTTCACTAAGTTATTTTAATTTGTTTAACTTCTAAAACAGATAAAATACAAATGAAGCAGGAAATTAAAATGATTTAGAGGGAAAGTTATCGATACTTTTTTTGAAGGAATATATGCTTTACCTGCATCAGTGTAAAATACTTTTTTTTAATAGAAATAATCAAGAGAAAATTGACATACAGAGGTCTCTAAACACACTGTATATGCATAACCCCTTTTTTTATTAGAAATAATTTTACTGTCTTATTTCAAGCATTTAAATCTACTGCACTATTACCAATTCCACATATTATCCTGAATTATATACTACCAGGCAACCATTTACAATATCCTTTATACAATTTACTTCAAAGTTTTTCATCAACTTTAGAACAAAGGAGTAGAGACAATTTCCCCTAAAATTGTTTCACTCAGAGGGTCAAAATCTAAAATTTGTCAAATCCTACTGGAAAATTGAATATTACCAAGTCTATATTATATACTTAAATGTTTCACAATGTTACATATTTCCATTAAATCAATACGTTATTCAGCTCTAAATGATCCTGCATATTGTTGGCATTTTATACAAATTTTTAGTGCAACTTTTGCAAAGAAGAATGTTGCTAGCCAAAATGAATTAATTCCTATCTGAAAGACAATATATGTTTAATATATATGGCGCAGGATCTGCTTACCCTTCCGTAGCAACTTAGATACCCCCAGTGTTTGATGGGGTTTGTGTTGCTCAGTCTTTAGTTTTTCTATGTTGTGTTTTATGTACTGTTGTTTGTTTGTTTCTTTTTTAGCCATGGTGTTGTCAGTTTATTTCGACTTATGAGTTTGAATGTCCCTTTGGTATCTTTTGTCTCTCGTTACTGATCATATAACTTTCATTTTGGTTAACAGTGTCGTTCTTGCACACTTTGGGAAAAATACTCAAAATTTGCCAAAATCATTCATAATTGCAGTTTTGGGCATTCTTTATAGTTTGATGACCTGTTTAGAAATAAGCCATAATATTGGAAGAGCCTTAAAGAACATACACTGGGTTGTGATACTATGGATTTAAGTAAAGATTGAGAGATTTTTTGAAAATGGTCCTGGTGTGAAATAAATTCAGGGGAAATGTGCGATGAACAAATCAAGTTTTACTAAAATATTAAGGAGAATAAAAGTAAGCAAAATTTAAGCATCAGCAGTCATATGGAAGTCCTGCCTTACATCCTGAAGGTCACAGGTAAAAAGTGAATAGCTATAATTAGCCAATATTTCCCAGAGGCATTAAAAGATAAACCTCTTGATTATCATACTATACCTGAATGGCAGTTTTTTGTTTAACCGAAAAGCATTGAAAAACAAAAATTAGTGCAAAATGGTAATAAAAATAACCCTATCTCAATGAAATGACAAAAATTATTTCTGCAAAAAAAAATTTTGTGACCAAATCCTAATCTGCATTTCGGTCAAACAGGATTCAGTTAAGGTCATGTCTGGTAATTATGACCATTTCCAGACCCTTGGACTAACCTGTTGTCATAGTAAACTCTTTACTGTTCTCCTCCCAAGTCTGAATAACCCACTTAATAATGACATGACTTACCTGTCATAAAAGTCCACTCTTATCCGGTTTTCCTCCCCAGCCTGAACAACCTTTTGGGTAGTACTTGTGACAACAACTCCATCTTTCATATATCTCCTGGTCTTTGTCAGGGTTCGGTACTGACTTTTATTCTCCTGGAAATAAAAACAAAAATACATTTTTGCAGATGAAATACATGAATTACCGAGAAGTGCATCCATCACTTGATCTACACATATACAATGTATTTATAAATATAAACAATATTATATAAAGAGACAAATCAGAAGATATACATGATATACATCCTTGCTCTGAAAGATTGCCCTATGAGAGTACAGGTGATTTATCTTGTGCATTAAAAAAACAGTAAATAACTTTAACTGTTACCAATTTTACTACAACACTTTAAAGATGCACATATCAATAATTAATGTCTGGTTAGTATTGTTTTAGGCCTAAATGTTTAAAAATTCAAAACCTAATACAATTGATAAGTTTTACAGCAAGTACAACTGAAAACAACCATAGCTATTAAGCTATTTCAGTTGGTATTTTATAGAGTGTCTTTCTATGTTGTGATGTTACACTATTGTTTCAGAAAAAGGGTGAAGGTTTGGTACCATTAAAACGTTTAAACCCGCTGCATTTGTTTGCACCTGTCCTAAGTCAGGAATCTGATGTTCATTAGTTGTCGTTTGTTGATGTGGTTCATAAGTGTTTCTCGTTTCTCGTTTATATATAGATTAGACCGTTGGTTTTCCCGTTTGAATGGTTTTACACTAGTAATTTTTGGGGCCCTTTATAGCGGTGTGAGCCAAGGCTCCGTGTTGAAGACCGTACTGTGACCTATAATGGTTTACTTCTATAAATTTTGACTTGGATGGAGAGTTGTCTCATTGGCACTCATATCAAATCTTCTTATATCTATATATATATAGCATTGTCAAACCCAGCCATGGAATCAGAGCTATGAATAAGGGAGAGATACCTTCTATAATTTCAAATGGTTTCCTACGTTTTATAACAGCAAATTTCAATAAAACAATATTCATATTTTTATAGCAACACCAAAGTACTGGGCTACTGGGCTATATAGTGATACCCTTGAGAACATACAATCCACCAGCAGAAGTATCGACCCAGTGGTAATAATAACATTAAATGATTCCATTTTTTCTGCACCAGAGGCACATAATGACAATTAACGTCTCATCAGTCATGTTATATATTAATTATTAATATAAAACCTAAAATTACTAATTGTTTACCAGAAAACTTTTTTATTATGACACATTTTAAATAATCTATCTGCAAATACATAACAATTTATTGGCATATAAATGGTGCAACAGAAATGGAACTTACCAACTGAAGCATTCATTAATATTAACATCATTCCAATACCTACATGAATCCAAAATCCAACCAAAATCTTAACTCAATTATCTTGAGCATTTATTTAAAAATGTTAAAAACAGAGATCCCTTTTCCTTAAAACACAAAATTTAAACAAATATAGTCATTTTTTGTTCTATTACTGTGGATATTTTTAGTTTACTATAGAATACACATGGTGTCAGCATGTGACCACAAATTACCACTTGCATCAGTAACTAATTAGATATGAAAACATTTACTTGATAATGATAACCACAATTGATCCAGAACCTACATAAAACAAACAATCTACTTAATATAATAATCTTGGCATTGTTTACGTAAATAAAACCACTTTATCATGGTTCTACAGACAGATTGCAGGTGCTAGTATGTCTGTATTACTGCAGGACTAGTGGAATGTAAAACATGCACTTCAATTGTTGATTTGGTTACAAAATTTCCTTTCATCTTACAAAAGTTGTATATTCTTACCATTGAATCAAAAGTTAAAAATAATTTTCCATTCCAACAGGGGTAAATTATTATGCTTCAGATTATTTTTAAAACTCCCCAGAACTACACAGGATCTTTGCTTATAAAGTTCTTAAATCACTTTGAGGCAAATTCTTTATGGGGAAAAACAAGAAGTTGAAGGATTCTTGTGCTTAGAATACCCCCACCTGCAACTAAACTTGAAAACAGAAAGTATTGTAGGTGTCTGACAGATCCAAGGATTTACGCCTCACATGTCATCAATGTCAAGCTGCAGACCAGATATGAAGTGTTTCTGTCCAGTAGTACTGGAGAAATGTGTGACTAAAATATTAAGCTCATTCAACTTATTGAAAAATTCAATGTGCATTGTATCTGCCCAACACGAAGTTGTTGTCAGACAGGTCCAGAAAGATCTCAAACCTTACAACCCACCACTGGTAAGCTGCTCACCAAATATGAAGTAGTTCTGTTCTGTAATACTGGAGAAATGTGTGATGAAAATATTAAGTTCATTCAACATTCTGAAAACTTAAAAGTAGCAGAGAAGAGGATGTAAGTGTTCAAAGATCTGAAAAGGGCTTACTCATTCTGTTAAGGACTTTTATGGGTCTATAATTTTTTCTTTCTCACCAAAGCATATTAAAACTTGATCCTCACTTGTATCAAAATACTTCAGGAATGCATGATTAAATTTCAATAACTTTTGAAGGACTAGTGCTTATTCAAAATAGTTTTAAGCATTTGAAGTCTTTGAAACATTCTCATATTGTCCACATACCAAATACCGGTACTTATTAACAGTCTTTAAAACGTTTGTGTATCTATGATTTTCATCAGTTAGATGCAATATGTTCTAACCATGTTAACAATAATGGACTTGTACAACTTCTTACAAAGTTATAGGTATGTTGTACTTAATGATCAATAATTGTGTCATCAATAAGATCAATCAATCAATGCACACACACTTATCTTGTCAGGGAACAATGTGACAACATACTTCCCTATAGCCTCCAGGGGTATTCCAATACATCAGAATATTGTACAATTATCATAGGCAACTTCAATTATCATACACAAAAAGCCATCAGCATCAAGTAATAAACAACAAATTTTCTATACAAAAAACAAAATACTGATTCCCTTTTCATCTAACGGATATCTATGAACTTCAAATCAGCATTTGAAGGTGTCAACTCTTGAAGTACAGTACTGTTATTTATATTCTAATGCAATATATGTATGCACTGTTCTAAAGGAGACAATCAGACAAATGTAATACATATGTACTGCATTAGAATAGTACATAACGTACACATATGTCATTTTAAAAAATTCTGCTGAATATTATTTTGATTGTTTTATCTATTTAAGTATGGTTATAACTTGTAATAAGCAACAGAGTATACTGTGGTAATGTTATCTTTACAATATGTACAAGCAGAAGGAAAAGGAAATACATTAAACTCAATACATCAATAATAAAAAGAAGCAGGAGCTGGGTACTTACATGTGATAGGGAAAATATATAGGAATATTTAGGGGATTCTGTAAACTTCTACAAAGTAATGGCCAAAGGATCATGTAGGCTATATTTGGTTTTAATTGTGACAGTGGTAGCCATCTTATTGGAGATTTGTATACTTTCAAAGTACAAAAATGTAGGACAATCCTAGACAAAATAGACTGAGTTATTTATTTGATTTGTGGATCAGAATTTACCTTTTTCATCAATTTTGCTGTTTATCAGTTTGAAAAATGCCCATTGCTGTATAAAATTTTGCTCCTTATGGATCAATTATTTATAGGTATCAAGATTAACTTTTTGGGATGTTTACTCCAACATTAAATTATCTAACAATTTTGATGGATTTGCAGTAAATCGTTACTTAAAAGTACTTTTGCCTCTATCAGATTTCCACTATTTTTTCAAGATATTAGACAATAATTTCCATTTTCCTTCAAAAACAATTTCTAGTCATGACTGCAATGTTGGATGATAAAATGATATATTACCAATAACAAACTAAAAAAAATCATGTCAAGTTAGATATAAATGGTTCATTAGTTTCCCAGGTTAAGATCTTTGAAACATAAATGCAACTGATTGTCAAAAATAGTCATTTTAGGGTAATAATCCAAAAAACAGTCAACTGACATTTTTTGTCATGTGACTTATTTAAATATATTTTGTCCTGCTTGCCAATATTTTAAAAACTTGGCAAAGGACAAATCATTGTAAACCAAAACAAAGGCCTTTTATATATTAAACTATCTGTTTCACATTTTCCTTTGTTGCTTTCTTGACAAAAAGAGCAAGCAATGTGTAAACCCTGACATGAAAACCTCTTGCAAAACATCTTGAATGAATCATCTTATATGAACATGCATAGACATAAATTATATACACTTTCTTAAAAAAAAACCCAAACAGCTCATAAATCTTAATAACAGAAAAAAATAAATAAAATTCATGCATTTTAGTGTATTTGGGTTTAATGTTAAGGCACATTTCATTAAAATTGATGTGTTAGGCTTAAGGAAGGGAATTCCCAAATCCCCCTTCAACCAATATACCTTTTTAAAGTGCATACATCAGATGGACAGAACAATAAATAACCCAGAACCCATGGCTAGGTTGCACAGACATGACAGAATGGTTCTACAACTGTAGGAGGAGTCAATTAACTAAAATAGGTTTTCCCCATAGTTCACCTATCCAACATCGTCATACATGTACTAGTCAGTTTTGCATTTCATGTAACCAACATGTTACCTTTCCATCCTCCCACCATCATTTAAATGGATTAAAAGGATGTGTGTCTATCATTGTTCTGATTTCAATGATAGAAATGTTTTAAATATAAGTTTAATATGGTGTTGTCGGTGGTGAAATATATAGTTACATAGATTACACTGTTAATAAGATTTCAATCAAATATACTCACTTTTCTGGTCTGGAAAAATAAATTTGTTAGGTGGTCAAGCAATTATAATCACATACATACATTGTGTAAATATTTCCAGCATTCCAATTAATATACTCAACAGCAAAAAAAAAAACGCACCACCTTTATTAATTTCTTTGAGTATACATTTCTATTTATTCTAAAAAAAAAGGATCAAAATGAGTTAAAATTTTGATACGTTTTTTGAGTCATTAAAATTCAATTCTGTGAAAATAAAAATTATTTACATCTTCATTATCTCAAAAAAAATTCTGCCAAATTCGTGAAAACTGAAGAGTGTATCTTTTCAACTAAAAACAACGAAAAATGTTCCATTTCTGAATCAAATTTCTTTCTCAATGACTAATTTTGAATTGACTTATCTGACGTTTTGATTTTTGACTTTTTTGGTTGAAACCCCCATTGTCACCACTAAAACATAAAATTGTCTTTAAACCATGGATTTATTACAGTGATATGATTGAAATATACAAAAGTTGCAAAAACAAGAAATTGTGAAACTACTATATATAGGAAGAAGTGGTGCGTTATTTGTGCTGCTGAGTATAGTTCAGCACTTATTGAAAAAGACAGCTAGACAGTCTGTATGAGTGAAATGAAAAATACCAGCCAAAAATAAAAGCTCAAGTTAGGTTTCATTGCAAACTGAAATTCAAAGCATGTAAGAAGACTATGTGACTTATAAAGTTTGGTGACATTGTGCTTTCATAAATAAGCCAGTTAAAGATCAAGCTACTACTACCACATCCACGATTTATAATCTGATACTTACACTTCTGTTTCTAATGTGTCCCTGTGCTTTATTTCTAGGTTTCCTGGGCTCCACGATGTCCATGCTATCCTCTGTATTGACACTTTCTGTGTCAGACTTCTGGTCATTATGACCTTCTTCTACATCACATGAATCTAGGTCAGTTTGTGGAACATTTGGATCATTTTTCTGATTTGATATGGAATTAATCATAATTTCGTTTCCCGAAGTGTCTTTAACACCTGTCACATGACCATTTACAAGTACGCTATTTCCTGCAGGTGGAACAGACTGTCCATTTATTGTTATTACAGATATATTTTTACCTTTACGTTCAGAGTCTGATTCTTTTTCCTCCACCTTTTCAGATTTTTCATCATCACTTTCAACTTTGACCTTAATTTCCTGTACTTCCATTTCGGGAGGAGGTTTTGTGATTATTTCTGTTTTAGGTTTATCCCCTGGCTGCCCAATTTCTATACGTGTCACACTAGAAAGACTAGTTTTGTCATTACCTATACTTTCACTGTCCTGAATTTGTTTGGACACATCACTCGTTTCACTTTTATTTTCAGTGTCCTGTTTCTCTTCTGTTTCATCTTTGACCTCATCCAATTCCAGCTCGATGTCTGTGACATCATATACTGACGTTTCATTCTGGTCGTCGTCATCCTCTTGTGTTATAACATCTTTAATGGCATCAAAAACAACAGCAGCTACGGATGGCTCTGTCTCTGTTGCTTTAATTACTTCATTAATTAGATCGTCTACGATTCCATCAATATCATATTTAATTCCATCATCTACAGGTTTAGACATACTTTCATTCTGTAAAAAAAAGATAGGTAAAATGCGTATCAACTTTTAATTTAATAGACCTCATCACTATTAGGGAATCTGTGACATTTGGCCTGTGAATCTGTGACACTTGAACTATTGAAGTAACACAACAATCACTTTTCCTTAGTGCCATCCGACATTCAAATTTTTACTGGAACCTTTGTGATGTTCAGTATGGCGGACAAATAGTGATAAGGTGTATTGGTCAACTACCAAATAAGTTACACAATGATAGGACTACAAAGCTTACTATATCCTGTGAAACTACATCAAGAAGCCCAGCCCTTACTATGTATCGAGGTAACACAACCAGTATCTCTTAATCATAAAAAAGCTTCTGCTAAAGTTTCATAAAATTCTACAAAGGTTCTATATAAGTAAGTGATGACTGAAAAAAAAAAAAAATTCAAAATTTTGCTCTGGATTCTGTCTTTTGGTCATGAAAAAGCTTGCATCCAAATTTTTATAAAATTCAAAGAAAGTTTGACAAAGTTATTGATGACTGGAAAACTTAAACCTTAGACTGTTACCTAAATGTTAACTGAAAAAAACTAAGTTCATTTATCAGTAAAATAAGGAAAATTTTTCAAAATTTTGCTCTGGATACTATCTTTTGGTTAAAAAGAAACCTCTGTTCAAATTTCATTAAATTCCATAAAGGTATGACAAGGTTATTAATGTCTAAAACAAGAGTGCACATGCTGAAATGTCTCGCCTGCTTTACTGACCATTGATTTTATGTTGATAGTCCTAAATATAAAACTTTACCACAAGTATCACATAAACGTAACATGATCCAAGAAAATGTGGTCAAGGTCAGTTTAACCAAACAGGAAATACATGTACACCTTAAAATCATTCCATACACCAAATATAGTTGACCTATTGCTTATAGTTTCTAAGAAACATAGTTAACCAGGAAAACTTAACATTGACCAATGAACAAGGGTCCGGAATTTTTTTTACACAATTTCGGTCATTTTGAGATGACTTAAAAAGTTGGGCCCCTTTTTTCGAACAGTCAATATTATTCACACTAGATTCATAGCATTAACGAACTTGTGTTGACTGTTACTTCGTATTTACTTCATGAATTTTCTTACCGTTTTTCTAAAAGAACAGTTAAGGAATGCAACAGTTTAAAATTGATTTGATTTTAATGACTCAAAATGGTAAATTTCTAAGACATTGGTAACGTTTCTTTGGATTTTGAAGACGAAATTAAAACCGGAAGTTTCACAAAAATACTAAAGTTCGAGTAATTCTGGATTCATTTCCGGGATTCGTTCTGTTTATCACACTGACAGGAAGTCACAGGACTTTTAAATATACTACCTTTAAATGGTTATGAATATACAAATAATAGTTGTATTCGTTTAATTTAGCATGCAATCAATTTGCATTTTACGATCATCTATCTATATACAAAGGATGAAGCACCCAGGACTTCTACCTTCTGAAATATAAAGCTTTTTAAGTAGTTAGTTAATGCCGTTGTCGCTGCCACTAGATCACTATCCCTATGTCTCGCTTTCTGCGACAGAAGTTGCAGGCTCGACAAAAACTTGAACCTAAATTTTAACGATGCCAATGCAACTATGGAATCTACATCTAGTATTGCTTTCCCCACATCAATTTTGCAGGCTCTACAATAAACTTTGGATAAGGTGAATGAAATATAATAATAAGAATCGAGTATAATATTACCTGGTTAGTATCAGATTTTTAATCACTGCTTGGTCCCAGACCTTCATCAGATAACGATAAGAATTGAGTATAATATTACCTGGCTTGTATCAGATTTTTCATCACTGCTTGGTCCCAGACCTTCGTCAGATGATTTATCTTGTTCTTCTTTGGCAATTTTCTGTGGACTTGCTTCTGGAGATCGTTGAGGAGATGCTTGTTTCTGAGGTGTGGTTACAGGAGACCGTTCAGGAGAGGGCGCTGGGGACTGTTTGGGAGAAGGTTTAGGAGACACTGAAGGTTCTGGTACCACAGGCACTGGTTCAACAGGCTTTTCTTCTTCTTTTTCCTCAATTTTCTTCTCTTCCACAACAGTTGTTTCTTTCTTTTCTTCAACAACTGCAAGTTCTGTTTTCTTTTCAACAACAACTGGTTCTTTTTTCTCTTCAACAACAACTGGTTCTTTTTTCTCTTCAACAATAACTGGTTCTTTTTTCTCTTCAACACCTGATATTTTCTTCTTTTCCTGTAAAATAATGAAACATTTATCTTTAAAAGGCAAGTATAATAGGAAGAGAGACAACTCGTGCTACACTTTATTTTCAATGCCATGCATACTGACACATTACCATTACATATATAACTGTTGTTTCTATATTTGAATTATTAAATACAATAAAAGTGCCTACAAATGTGTATTAAATTTTGGCTGTGCTATCTCATACAGAAACTTTAATTTAGCAATAATGAATACTAGATTTTTCTGCTAGCAAACAATTATTTTCTAAATATTTTCTAAACAAAATGAATAATATTCAAGTGAGCGGCATTGTTTTTTTTATTATTTTTTCAAGCGAGTGTTAAAAAGCATGCTGTTTGTATCAGAATAATATAAGGTTATAGCAAGAATAGTGGGGGAGATTGTCCAAGTAGAATATTTTAAAATTGCAATCTAAAGCTCATATGATATTCTCCTCAGAATAAAATAAAAACAAATATTAGTGCAATAACTCCATAATATCCATATGCAAAAAACCTAAAAGGTAAAAACTTACTTTGACAACTTCTTTTTCAGGAGTGGGAGCTTTTTCATGATCTGTTTCCCCACCAGAAGTTGATATTTCATCTAAATCTATACTGGACATATCACTCATGTGACGCTAAAATAGTAAGTGTTATTATAAAGTCAATAAATATCTAAAACAATCACAGAATGAATACAATGTGATGAAAATAAGTTAAATAACTTTTAGAGATGGTAAATGATGATTTTTCAAAGGTATCTAAAGGTACACATGTGTATTCTTTACTTTTATAAAAGAAAAGCAAAATTGTTATTTTTTAATTTTTAAATCACTTATCAAGAACTAATTCTTCCACTTTACGACCATCACAGCAAGTCATCTAGTAATATATGAACTCATCAATATAAACGTTCTCATATCTACCTAAATTGACCAATTAATTGCTAAATGACAAAGATGCAAGTACACAATTAACAATAAGACTTATGTAAACACAGGATTTTTAATTAGTTAATTTCACATGATTCATTGGTAGCTGATTAGTGTTCAGGAACAAATAAGGCATGCATATTTAGGACAGTAATATGATACTACACACTGCTGTGTACAAGTCTAACACACTCAGTTGGATTCTAATTGTGCTAGCGTACAAGGCAACAGTCTGCAGAAAGGCTTGTAATTCTAACCAGATATCTCATTCTATCTCCCAACCACCCAGTCCTTTGTCCATACTAGACTTTGTGCTTGGTGTTAAAGCAGCAAACATCAATTTTAGAGTCTATGGATTGACCTGAACGGGGATAAAAACTATGAACTCTTGCACTGGAGGCAAGCAACATATCTCCAAGGCAGTTGTAAATTTTAAGAAAATAAATGGAGAATGTGTCCATGCCCCCACTTGCATACAACATTATAAAGGGACATAACTCAAGAACAATAAAAGTGACGCTACCCAAATTTGTACTTGATCTGAGTTTTGTGGTAATAAGTATTGTGTAAAGGTTTCATAATGTTTGGTTGGGGCAAACTTAAGTTACAGAACGGAAACTAAAAATTCAGCAATTTTTCGATTTACAAAGGGGCACAACTCGATAATGATTAAAGTGATGCCACCAAAATTCAACTTGATCTGTGTTTTGTGGTAAAAAGTATTGTGTATAAGTTTCATAACATTTGGTTGAGGCAACTTAAGAGAACGGAAACTAAAACTTTTGCATTTTTTTCCATTTATAAAGGGGCATAACTCGAGAACGGTTTAAGTGACGCCACCAAAAATTCAAACTTTGATCTTTATTTTGTGGTAATAAGCATTGTGTATAAGTTTCATAACATTTGGTTGAGGCAAACTTAAGTTGGAGAATGGAAACTAAAAATTTTGCAATTTTTACCATTTATAAAGGGGCATAACTCTAGAACGGTTAAAGTGACGCCACTGGTAATAAGCATTGTGTATAAGTTTCATAACATTTGGTTGAGGCAAACTCAAGTTAGAGAACGGAAACCAATTTTGGGACGTACGGACGTACGTTCGTACATACAGACAGACAAGGGTAAAACTAAATGCCACTACGGCGGGGGCATAAAAACAGTTTATTACTGGTATCTTTTAGGTAGATTTGTACATATGTATGTAAGCATCTGACAAGTTATATGATAGTTATGTCCAACATGTGAAATATTCTTTATTATTGACATAATAATCATTTTGTACCTCATTACTGTATATATTACCTTCATTTCTTTGATATCATCTTCCTCAGTTAAATCTTCTACAGTTTCTACAACCTCAGCTTTAGATTCTAACACTAAGTTTAATATGTCACTTTTATCTGTGTAATCTTTGATAAATTTGTGCTGAAATAAAAATGTAATTTATATCAATATCCTGTCATCATTAAAATCATTTGAATATTTTGTCTGTCTGTTTATTGACTTTCTATTCAGTAAAAACAAGAATGTGTCTATAGTACACGGATGCCCCATTCGCACTATCATTTTCTATGTTCAGTGGACCATGAAATTGGGGTCAAAACTCTAATTTGGCATTAAAATTAGAAAGATCATATCGTAGGGAACATGTGTACTAAGTTTCAAGTTGATTGGACTTCAACTTCATCAAAAACTACCTTGACCAAAAACTTTAACCTGAAGCGGGACAGACGGACGGACGGAAAAACGAACATACAGACCGAAAAACATAATGCCCATAAATGGGCATAAAAATGGGCATAAAAATATGGTGCAAGCCTCACTGCTGGAGAAAACCAGATAACTAAGGATAATCATAAACTTTCATCAGTTTTAGGATAATCACAAACCTTCAACAGTTAACCAAATCTACCGCTAACCCATAAATTAAGTGCATCTCTACATTCATAACAATTGACCTGAGCACAGCTCAAACATCTATTGTATAGGTTTTCGGTTATTGTGGAAGATAGATTTTACGGTCACCAAGAACCCAGAAGTATTTTTTTATTTTCAACTTCTTATTGTATTGTTTAAAGGTTTTTGTTTCTGAGACAGATAAGCCGTAATGCTTTTGTTTTTGGAATAAACACATTTTCTACAAGTTGTTTTAATCTAACACACTATCATTTTAATAAATGTTGCAAAAGCAATTTCAAGTTGACTGAGTTAACATTAAATTTCAAAATGTATAGTCATAATGAAATACATGTTATCACTTTATATTCACTTTTTCATGGCTGTCATACAGAAGTCAGTCATTCTGTTGGTTTGAAACTTTTTTTTAAAACTACCAGTCTGCAATTTTCTGATGTGTTCTTTAATCAAACTTTGGATACAATGTATATATGATAATAATAATAATAATAATATTGACTTCTGTTAATTCAGAAATTATTTTGTGATTTTTTTGAAGAATAGACAAAAATGAAAGAATAATTATTGTGATTTCTGCAAAATTTGCATACAGATATATGTACCAGATATCAGAATGCAAGTTCTTCTTATTGCGATACTCAAATAGTCACATTATTCGCAATAATATAAATCTAAGATAATTTCTGAATTTACAGTATTTAGTGTCAGTGATAAAGTTTCTAAACAACAGGTTAGTATTAAAAATTCTGTTGTCTGCCTTCTACTCTAAGATTTATCATCTAACAAATAATTCTGACTATTCTCTAGTCATACCTGTAATAATTCTCCAGCTGTTGGTCTTTGTTCTGGGTCTTTATTCAAACAAATCTTGATAAATTCATTAAAACTTTTTGTCCTAAAAACAAAAATGATAAATATTTTTATACAAATTATATCATTGATTTTAATGTAAATAAACAAATTAAAATGTTTATGTTGCTTAATTCATCGAAATTGACAAAAATAAAAAAAAATCTTGGATATGCATGTCCCATTCCAAAAGACCACTTGGTTTAGTAAAAGGAGCCATTTATAAATGCATTTTTATTAATGAATGGAAAATAAACTTTGCCCATTTTCAGCTTTTTCAAATGAATAAAAGAACAGAGTTATATTTGATCAGAAATTGTTTTCGAAAGTGTCATTAACATTGATGATATAAACCTTTAATATAAATTTCATGAAAATCTGGCAAGAATTGTACACATTAGAGTGCTCATAAGGCAATTTTCCATACATTTAATATTTCTGAGGGTCATAACTCTTTAAAAATTGTAGATCGGCACTGATTTTCGAACTCGTCCAAGACATTGCTGATATAAACCTATGATATAAGTTTCATAAAAATATGGCAAGAATTGAACACATGAGAGCACTAACAATGCAATTTTCCATATATTTAATGTTTCCAAGGGGCATAACTCTTTTAAAACTAATTGATCTGCACTAGATTTTGAACTCGTCCAAGACATTGCTGATATAAATCTATGATTTAAGTTTCATAAAATTCTGGCAAGAATTGTACACAAGAGCGCTAAAAATTCAATTCTCCATATAATTAATGTTTCCAAGGGGCATAACTCTTTAAAAAATAATTGATCAGCACTGATTTTCAAATTCATCCAAGACATTGCTGATATAAACCTATGATATAAGTTTCATAAAAATCTGGCAAGAATTGTACACGTGAGAGCGCTAACAAGACCGGACAGACTGACCGCTGGAATTTCTATGTTCCCCTCAACGCATTGTGCAGTGGACATAAATATCAGGAACCACACGAATAAGAAATATGTTAAGGTTGACTTTTGGTAATGTAGGCATTCCAATAGAACATAGAATCAAACTTTATTAGCGATGTGTATGTGACTAGTGTAAATTTGCGAGTTTTCCTATGTTGTTTGCAAAAAGAAGCCTTCTTCATGTTAAACACAGTATCATGTACTTACAGTGTTTTAACAAAAGATCTATGAAGGTTAATAAAGTCAAATTAAAACTTTGTCCCGATCTATCAATTAGTGGTGCACAGATCATCAGAAACATCCCAAACATTGATGGTCGGGTTCCTTGATTTGATGATCATTTTACAACTCAAGAGATTGTTTTTGTGTTTTTTTTTTATGTTTTGACAGCTAAAAAGGGTGATTTTTGTTGCTCTGCTATAAATCATGAGAGCAGTTATAAAACCGAAACATTGAAAATAGATCTTATATACATGTTGTATGGTCAACATCATTTACCCTCGCGAGCATTGATTTCAGTAAACTTGTATTTCTATGTAGATTTATCAATCTGGTTTGACCGGTTTTTATGATAACCGACACAATTAAAGACTGTACGGATCATCAATCATCGGTCAAAAAATCTGATTGACTCCTATCACTACTATCAACACCATTAGCATTAAGAGTAATATTAAATGGACCTAATACCTTATTTTGAAGCATAAAACCAAAGAGACTGCATCTTGTCCTTTGTCATTTGTTTTTTTTGTATAGATGTAATACTTTATTTTGAAGCATAAAACCAGAGACTGCATCTTGTCCTTTGTCGTTTTTGCATAAGACAAGTTCCTGTCTCATTGATGTATAACCCACATCATCTTTCATTAAAATACATTGTATACAACTATGATAGTAGAAATCTAAAAGGGAGATAATTCAGTCGTATTTCAAATCTATATTACTCTGATTTTAAAAGCTTAACCTACCATCGTGATGGTCCACTTAATGTTGGAGGGTCTGATTTCTGTATCTTGATCAGAACTCTCATAGGATGCATGTCATGGTTTGGGGGTTCTATCTGAGCAAATTCTATCATTGTGATACCTGCAATTAAACACAAGAAATACATTTATCAGTCTCAATAAAGTTTAATTGATAATGATTAAAAGATGAAAAAAAGGTATTAAGGCAAAAATCTTATCAGAATACATTCAGCTTAATACCAAAATTTACGATAAAAGAGATTATTTTTCATTTCCTTTTGTTAATTATCCATTTTTAGATGGTGACGTTCCCTTGTAACCATCTTATGGTGTTTATATATCTCAACTTGTTCGATTCACTCGTGTATGTAACAATGTATTTGATTTTAACGAAAGAAATCTCTGTATTACTGAAAAATTATTACACCAGGGTTTTCGATATCACAAAACATTTACTAAATTTTATCATCAATACAAGGACATCATTCATAAATATAAATCAACATGCCGACATCTTATAAATTCGGGTATTTCACATCCAATCTTTTATGGTAATTTCTATACAAAGCACAAAAATGTCGTCATTCACCTCAAAAGCTAACCAAACCTTTAAACAGACTTTCGGCTGTTGTCTGCTCTATGGTCGGATTGTTGTCTCTTTGACACATTCCCCATTTCCATTCTCAATTTTATTATTTAGAAGGGATATAGTTACATACTGTTGTCAGGTCATTAAAGATGGCATTTTTTGGAATTAATATTGATTCACTCGTAGGGTCTTTGCATCGGAAATAAACACATTTATTCTAAAACCAGTTGTTGGCATGATATGGGTTACATTGGTGGCCTTGGGCTGTTTTCTGCTCTTTGGTCGGGTTATTGTCTCTTTGACACATTCCCCGTTTCCATTCTCAATTTTATAATGAATTTTCAAATTTGATATGATTAAATGTGATGCTGGTTTTATGTATGTAGAAGGAAACAGTAAGTGTAAATATTGTAGCTACATATGAATATCATAAAAGTTTTTCGTTGTAAATCACAAGTATTTACATCATCATGTTATTTGTTGAAATGACATCACATGTGCATGATATTATGCACAAATGAAGTGCATCTAGCAAAGATCTATGCTCAAACCAGTGCAAGTGCCATCACGAACGTAAAGTGTTGTATGAGGTTTTGCTCTGTCCGTGACTCAAGATGAAAACAGTAAAAACACAGTTCTGGTTTTGGGTTTAATCAAATGCATGTAAAAATATTTTGCCATATAGAAATACACCAGATTTCTTCTTTTCCATTACAAAACATAATTTTTGTTTTCCTATGAAAATGAATGTTGTACATACATATTGCAAATTCACAAATTTTTGCGTGCATCTATTATTGTGATTATTAAACAAAGCACAAAAATATGAGAATAATCATTATGATTTCAGGAAATGCAGCAAATTATGCTATCAAAATTTAAAATGCTTTTTATTCGTGTGAAAACTTTCCCATGCAATTTTTAGCAATAATTAAAACATCACAACAATTTCAGAATTTACAGTAATTTCAAGTACATGTACCAATCATTTCATGCATACTAAGAACAATAACAAGCTAGTTTATGTAATTTATCAATTGGTAAGATCTCAAAAGTTGGTGGTTTATACTGAAGGGCTTATGAGATAGGGTTAAAAAGTAGCTTACATCATGTCATCAATTAACCCACAGAAGGGATTATAGCTTAGGTTCAGGCAGCATTGCATACCCTTAAATATGCCTTGGGGTTGAATCCACAGTATCTTAAGTGGAGACATATTGCTAGCTAATAACATCATCCAAAATCCTTCACACTTACCTAGTGACCAAATATCAGCCTTATAATTGTATGGACTGTCTTTTAACGTTTCACACATAATAACCTCTGGAGCCATCCTATAAGCAAAGGAAATACAAAATTAATTTTTTAAAACTTCAAAAGGCAAAGATTATTTTGTCAATATAAAAATTTCATTCAAATTACTACTGGTCCCTATTAAAGCTTGAGCTCTCACAGACAATTTGAATGTAACAAAAAACACACACTTATTTCAAACTAAGGATAAATTACCTTCTATTAACAATTCTGATACAGTAGTTATAGTCACAGACAGGAAAAGAACAATCTAGTGTATCAACTGTACCAAAAATATTTTTTATGTCTTTGAAAACAAGGTCTATATTAGCAAGTTGAAATTGGGATTTTAAACTTTATTTCAGTAACTACTATAAGTAGTCCTAGATTGGTACTTTGTGCCTTTTTGTCATTTGGTTAGTTGTTTTTGCACTTAGTTACGATCTGATGAGTCAAGCCCTTTTCACCTTATATTAATAGTTTGTTCTATTGTTGTGCTGCTACACCATCATCCCATGTTTGGAGGAGGGTTGTGTACACATGCTGTTACACCATCATCCCATGTTTGGAGGAGGGTTGTGTACACATGCTGTTACACCATCATCCCATGTTTGGAGGAGGGTTGTGTACACATGCTGTTACACCATCATCCCATGTTTGGAGGAGGGTTGTGTACACATGCTGTTACACCATCATCCCATGTTTGGAGGAGGGTTGTGTATACATGCTGTTACACCATCATCCCATGTTTGGAGGAGGGTTGTGTACACATGCTGTTACACCATCATCCCATGTTTGGAGGAGGATTGTGTACACATGCTGTTACACCATCATCCCATGTTTGGAGGAGGGTTGTGTACACATGCTGTTACACCATCATCCCATGTTTGGAGGAGGGTTGTGTACACATGCTGTTACACCATCATCCCATGTTTGGAGGAGGATTGTGTACACATGCTGTTACACCATCATCCCATGTTTGGAGGAGGGTTGTGTACACATGCTGTTACACCATCATCCCATGTTTGGAGGAGGGTTGTGTACACATGCTGTTACACCATCATCCCATGTTTGGAGGAGGATTGTGTACACATGCTTTATGTGCCTTTAAAGAAACTAAGAGCTTTTTGTCCAGTGATTGTTGTTGGTTACTCAGGTAGTTAGTTTTATATTTTGAATTGTTAAATATTTTGTTATCACTGTTGTAGCTTACTATACCGTTTGGATTTAACCAGGGCCTAATCTAGGATTTTGGAGAGGGAGAAGTGACTTCTCCTTCCATGAGAGAGAAGGGAGAAGTGGTCAATTTCTTGGAGAAGTGAGATTCCATTACCGTTTCGGTTGCATCGTGTTCTCGTGCTTATCACTAAGGAAATTGTTTTGTATGCAATAAAAAATATACTTGCAGTCTTTTCATGTTATTGTACAAAATGTATATATATAGAAAGTTCTTAATAAAAAGGTTTAGACAATATAGTTGTTATCTATTCATTGATACCATTTGTACTGTCAACTTAAATTTAAGTTTAAATAAGATTTGTTGCTTGGGACATGATCATGAGGGAGTAGCCTAGTAATATTATGATGCATTAAATTCATGTGCATCTGCCTCAATTTATTTTTAAATGTCCAGAAAATATGACTCCCAGTTTACCTGATGAATTTCACATGACTGGGAATTTAATTTATATCACAACTTGTCATTATTTTGTAAAACATTATTGAATGTCCAGGACATCATGTTACATGTAGTTGTAAATTGAGATTCTCGTTAAAGATTGTAAGCCTATAAATGAAAATATCTGTCAATCACATATTAATTAACCAATAAGGAGCTAATTTCTATCATTTTTTAAAGATATCTTCCCTATCAACGAAATGGTCGTGAAAAAAAAATCCACTGCTGATCACAGCTGGTCGAGTGTCAATCACAGTATTCCATCAGCTGTCTTTCTACCTTTTATATTTCAATTTTTATTCAATGAATATAATATATCTACCATTAATTCCCAACCTTAACCAACTGAATAGTACAATTTGATCGACTCGTAATAAATAAAAATAAAACAAATCAGCGGAGTGATTACGCAACATCCTCAGATAAAAATCATTGTAAAATGATAACTTTAACAGACGATCAGTTTTCCGTTTGAATAGTTTTGAATGTGTTATATCTGAGGATGTTCAAAGTCGCCGTTGTATTTATTTAATTTGATCGTCGACAGTATTAGTCCTGAGTCGTTTCGAAAATCTTGATTTTCCTTGTCAGTCGACCTTTTTTTTTACCTGGGAGACTTGTAATTCACAAGTTGTCTCCCTTTTACCAAATTTCATAGCGATTTGACTTCGCCATGAAGTCAGTCGGCTGGCGAGATTTAGCGATTTTCAAAATTCTTTGGAGACTTAAATCGTCATTTCGCAGGCAAGATTATGGCCTGGATTTAACATATTGTAATAAGTTGTATGGTAAACTGTAATTGTTTACTTTCTTGTCCTTTAATCAAAGTGTTTAACTGTTTCATTTATAATCATACCACATCTCCTCCCTTTGATAACACTGACATGGAAAATGATATAGGAGTAATGAATTCAGCTATAATTGAGGTCTTACAACAGCAGCAACCTAATTACAAGGACTGTCATCTCCACACATGACTTACCAATAGGGTGTACCAATGAAGGAGTCCCGTCTCTGAACTGTTTTTGTATTCATAGCAGACACACCAAAGTCAGCTGAAATGTATAACATCAATAATTAATTCAATAAACTGTTGACACAGTCTTGCCTGTCTACAAAATATTTCGAAAAAGACAATCTGATGGACAGCAACATTGGTAATCAATTCAAAGTCACTGGACCATGACCTAGCTATAGGGGGCAGGGCTTTAAAATAGTCGCCAAACTGATAAAGCTCACAAAATGAAAACCCTGTTATTGATCTCAATATACAAAGCATTCAAGATAATATATTATCTTTGAAGTTATTTTTTTTTTCACTGTTCTAAACTTTAAGCAATTGTCAACATTACATGTGCTACTCATTAACATGATGAAATAAGTATTTGCAACCTTGACCTTGCAGACAGACATTCGAACCTTATTCCTGACACACCTTCTGACAATGGGCAACAACAATATCAAATATTTTGAATATCCTTCATGGCATTCAAAAGATCTGAACCAGAGATGACTTACAAAGACATACATGTACAGATAAAGTGATTTCTATTTCACCCCAAGGATGCAAGTACAAATTAAATGACACTTAATGGGAATATTTTGCCAAACTTCAGTAACAAAATTAATATTGCTTTCTTTCTGAGTAATATTAAACTGCCTTGTTGGTCCACTGTTAACCTCCAGTGTGAGATCTTGTGGGCTCAATACCAAGCCAGGTCAAAACAAAACCTTTAAAATTTGTAAATGCTGTATCTCTTCCAAGCTCGCATTATTGAGGTGTCAGAGTTGACTTGTCAGCTTAGAGTCAGAATGAAGTGTTAAGGTAGGTTGACTGTTACATTGTGTCAGTCTAGTACAATGCTGGTTTTCTACATATCACAATATGTTATCCATCTGAATATGTATATAAATTCCTTGCTGGGAATTGCACTAATGATCTCTGGCATTTAAGGTGAGCATGCAACCAAGAGACCAATGAAGCGATGTTAACAAGGACAACAGAAGTCAATTTCAGAGCATAAGGCATCAATTCATGCATATTATACAAAATATGGATGGACCGTCTTGCTCAGATGACAAGTTGAATTTCTAGCTAGTTAAATATGAAGCTAAACTTGTTTACATCAGGGTTATTAGAAAGTATTAACTATGTCTAGTCTTCAGTAAAAAGCCTTTGCACACATGTCAAAATAAAATCAGACAGCCAAGATGTTAAAATAAATACAAACCTAGTTTGACATCTCCTTCCTGTGTGAGGAGTACATTACCAGCCTTTAAATCTCTATGTATAACTTTGCTTTCATGTAAGAACTCTAAACCTTCACACATCTCATGACAAACGTAACGGATCTGTTTCTCATTCAATGGCTTCTCCAGCTCCACCATGATACTATCCAACGCTCCTCCACCACAATACTCAATAAACATCTGAAATAACATCAATGTAAATTTGTTTAAAGGTAGGCAGTATTTCATCCAAAAATAAGATTTTAAAGCAATGCTCTCTTGTAAGCACAGAGTAACAAAGATATGTTAAAGATATCTGCCTAAAATATATGAAGCCAATCACCTACTATTGCACTGATGTTGACCTACCGGTACTCCCAATGATCCATCCCTTTACAAGTTCAGATGATCTTCTAACTTACAGGTACGAATATATGAACTAGGATGTAAAAACTTAAATAAGATCAATGAATCATGAAAGCTTGTTCCTAGCAACTTATTCTTAATAAGATCAATGAATCATGAAAGCTTGTTCCTAGCAACTTATTCTTAATAAGATCAATGAATCATGAAAGCTTGTCCTAGCAACTTATTCATAATAAGATCAATGAATCATGAAAGCTTGTTCCTAGCAACTTATTCTTTTCAAGACACAGCTTGAATTACAAGTTTAGAGTCCTTTTTTTATTAATGATGTATTACCTCTGACTGCGACCAACTTTTGCTTGGATGCTGACCTACTCCCAAAATATATATTCATAAATGTACACAAGTCTAGATGATCCTATTACTAAGTAAGTTGCAGATATGAACTTAGACATTAAACAATGATATATTAAGTATTCTGCATTTTTTTTTCCATTTTCTATCTTTCTTATTCATTTTTTTCCCCATATAACAGTTATTCTCTAAGACTCTTAATATGTACTAAAGTGGTACTTGTAACAGATAGGTGTTAAAACAATACAAGTACTTACCCATAATTTACTATCAAAGTAGAAAGCCTCGTATAGTGATACAACATTTTTATGTCTACAGTCTGTTAAGATATTTATTTCTACTGAGAAGTCCTCTATGTCTTCTTCACTTTTAATCTCAACATGTTTTAAAGCTGCCAAAATATTCTTCTCTTTATTTTCAGCCTGAAAATAGGTGCAAATTTTTAGTCAATATTGGAATGTATTGAATAAAAGAAAAGAAACAAAGTATGAAGATAATGGATGACTGTTTACCGTCCAGTGGCAAATTAAACGCCTAGTCAGGATGAGAACATGATAATGTGATGTTAATTCTACTTTATACTAGACAGAAACGTTGAGCCAAATTTTTAACCAGCTACAGTACCTTACAAGGTAACAGTCTATAAGAAGACATGTCACCATACCCACGAAACATTATTCTGATTTTTAGCCTACCAGTCTTTGCTCTTACTACAAAATTGTGTGTGCTGAGCGGAGAAGAAGCATATACCAATTATCAAGTCTTTGCTTTTACCCAGCTTGGTTTCAAACCAACATCCTCCAGCACTTAAAAGAAACAAAGTGCACACAAACAGTACCACATTTGAATTTTATATTAAGTAAAACAACTGAATGCTATTTTCTTTTTATTTTAATCTGCTAAAAGGAGATTGGTATAAAGAAGAATATATAATTGCTAATTTGGTACATACACGTAGAAGTACATTACTAGCCACTACAGAGATTATCTTAAACTATTTTAATTCATAAAGGGAATAATTATGAATGCATAAACATATAGGTTCGTGACCTTGTGATATGTTTGATATAGCCTTGTGCCCTTATTCCATAAAAAAGCCTAAGTTCTTCATTGATTCTTTACCCCTATTACATGAAACATTAAAACTTGATTTTTTAAATGTTTTACTTCCTTGACGATATTATGAAGCACTCAGCTATAAAATGTTGGCATTATCCTTTACATCTGACTATGAATGGAATACCTTCATGAGCTTTTAATCTCTACTTTATTAATTATCTATGATGAGTAATTGTTTATTTCCTACCTTTATACATTTGAAACATGTTATTTTTACCTACATTTGAAACTCTTTTAATGTTTATCACCTGTTTAACACCATTACATAATAGTAGAGGTCTGGTCATTCTCAAAGTATTGTGTAATACATTTTTTTTTAACAATTTTAAGGGAGAGGTAAGAAACAGACTTTATTGTGATACATTGTATAGTCTGAACCTTAGATATAGATTTACAAAACTTTCTTAAGTCAGCAATGGTGACATGACAGGGAATGTTGTGCCATATCATTTGATTGGTTAGGTGCCATTTTTGGGGGCTATTGAACTTTTGTACTGACACACATTTCAAAGACATCAAGATTACTGCAGCAAGGAACCTTTTCTTTGATTGGTACCTCTTTGGAAATAAAGTTGCTCCTCAAGGACCCCTTTCTGTGCAGGACACACAAAAACTGCACTTTCCAGCATACCATCACTCTGGGCATGAGGCATGAGGGTCAATAAATGTCACAAAATCATTAAATAAACAGCTGCGCTATGAGCGCATGATATGACCGTCGCATTTTTTACGAATAAATTTCAATAACTTCTCAATGTCATATCAGAAATTTGTGAAAAACTAAAGGGAGGTTATCTTAATTGATATAAACCAGTCACCAAAGTTTAATGAAAACTGCTCAAAGCACTTTAAAGGTATTGTCCGAAAACTAGAAAATCACTCCTTTTTTATGAATAAAATCCCATAACTTGGAAGTGTAAAATCTAAAATTTATAAAAATTGAAAGGGAGCTTACATCAATAGATATAAACAATTCTCCAAAGTTTCATGAGAACTGCTGAAAGCATTTTTGAGTTATTGTCCGAAAACTGGAAAATCCCCCTTTTTTTAATGAATAAAACTCCATAACTCGGAAACATAAAATCTGAAATTTATAAAAATCAAAAGAGAGCTCATGTCAATAGATAAAACAATTGACCAAAGTTTCTTGCAAAATGGTGAAAGCATTTTTGAGTTATTGTCCGAAAACTGGAAAATCCCCCATTTTTTAAAGAATAAAACCCCATATAAACTCAGAAACGTAAAATCTAAATTTTATAAAAAACGAAAGATAGATATGAACAATTCACCAAAGTTTTATGCAAATTGGTTGAAGCGTTTTTGATTTAATGTCCGACATGTTGATGACGGACGGACAGACAGAGGTTTACCATAATACGTCCCGTAAACAGGCGTATAACACACAAGGTTTTCCATTGAGCCTTTTACCTTATAATTAACCATTTGCTTCAGCTCATTTGCATTTTTGAAAAATAACAAAAAACAAGAATTTTTAAATACAGCCCAACATGGTAAGGGTTAACTACATGCAAGTTTTTGTTTGTTTTTTTTTTACTAAAAAAACACTCAAGGATGACATGTTATGTATACTGTCAATTTTTTTTTTACCTGTCTGCAAGTATCGCATATGTTATCACTCAAAGACTTAAGTAGGTTCTTATCTTGACTTACATTGCATATATATCATTATTATATGCCAATCACCTTCACCTACATTTCAATCTTTTTATATAAGTTTAGCTTTATTCTTCATATAAAATTCAGATCATATTGTAAACAGTTTTATACATGTACATGTATTCATTCATTTGTCTTAAATTTCACGATTATTTTCCTTTTCATAAAAGACCTTTTAAAAATCCCTCCTATTTGACCTTAAGAAAATGAATAAAGTGTTTCCTGATAGATTTTGACACAAAAAATCTTGATACAATCTTTCATTTTATCATTTTATCTCCCAGTTATATATAATATGAAAACCTATTAGATGTAAACATTTTATATGCTTGTACATGTATTCTTTTCCTTCAATGTAAACCAAAGTCACACTCATTATATGCATATGTAAAAGATAACGTTTGTTTTATAACATGAACTATGTTGGTCCATACATTGAGTAACATATAGCCCCACCCATTGTTTCCTGTAAAACATAATACATGTATAGTGTAGATATATTAATTACAATTTACCACCCACTGGAATGAGGAAGATTTTACTTTTTATTTTATATGTATAAATGTATCCCGATTATGCACGATGTTTGTGTTTTTAACTTTTTATAAAATAAACTCCAATGACCCAACATTTTACAATGACAACTGTTTATGTAGATAGGTATGTGAAGTACCCATATCAGGAGAGATAGATCCATTAAATAGTAGTTAATACATATATCTATCAGCATACATTTCTTACTGATAACTTCTAAGATACAATTCATTCAACAAGTCCTAAACTGGTTACCTGTACCCCTTCGTTAACAGGTCAAGTTCAATAAAGCTGTCAAATCATAATTTCTATAGTAATAATTATCAATTTTCCTAGAATTCATATGTAAACAATGTAACCATCTATCTAAATTATGCTGTTTTGTGAAATTGCCTGTAAACTTATTTTGTTTTTTTAAATGTCCATGTTACAAATATGTTTAACCCCTTTAGCCAAAAAAAAATGTCCCAATACATGTTATCTATTGACAAAACCATAATATACATAAGTTTCTATAACTGAGAATCAGTGACACTGGGCAGACAGTGTATTACAGGAAAAAGAACAAGACTTCAATCTGTCCAGTCTTTCCCCACATACATACAGTTTGGATTTTCATTGACCTAATGACATTATAAAGTTTTATTACAATATAAAGGGAATCAGTGAACCTTAATATTTTGACCTACAATGTACATAATGGGTATTTTTTTAACCTGGCATACATGTATTCTTTTGAGGAAGTGACATCTTCATTACAATGATCACTGAATAGATTTGTCATATGTAATTCACAGTGTCATCAGGACCAATATCTAAAATAGCTAATATATATTATTCCTAAACCTAGGAAAATTGGTGCCCAAGAAGATAAATGAATCCACACCGAGTACCCTAACTAAGTACATTTGTACTATAAGCACATCATTGATAGAAATCCATATAATACTGTTATAACATTGCTTGGTCAAATAGATTTGCACTGATTTTTAACCAATCAGAATGCCAACAGTTCAATGTCATATTGGCCTCAATCATGTTAATGAAAGTTCTATTCTGTGCTTCATGTTTTACACTAGCATAAATAATTATGTGGGATACAGGTAACTTATATACATGTAATTGTACAACTGTTTAACCTCGGTGAATATGTACATACATTGTATGTTGACTACTAATTTGTACTTTACTGATGTAAAACCTACATGTAGGTTATTTCAATTTATTGTTCATGACATTATAACAATGTCTGAAAGTCCATCAGCATAATTACAATGATTTCAATCTATATAAGAATATTAATGAGTCAGAGCAGCAATACTATACCTTCCTAAAGTTGTTACCTAGGCAATGTTTTCAGAGGCAGTAAGAATTCTGTTTGTATATAAATTACTTTTATAAACGAATATACCTTGATGTATAGAAAATGTTTTGAGAGGATTTTCAAATGTATGATATACAACAGTGCAAGGTGAAATATATTTGATAAAAATATTAATTATCATTAATGGTTGTATGTCTTAAGGGTTAACCTGGACACAGAAAAGCTTTCATCTTTAATTAACAACATTTGATCTAAAGCTGTTTCTCTTCAACAAACCATTCTCTATGATGAGATAAATAATATTAAAGCTATCCAATTTTCTGAACAAATTACAATTAAATTCTCCTGTTACCAAGGTATACTCATTACTGTAAGACAGAATACAGATCTGTTTTTGACTCCGAGGATAGAAAACTTCAGAGACCTCTGTGACAAGTACCATTTTGCTATGCTCATGACTAGGGGCACAGATGCTTGTCTGTAGTCACTCATAACCTGGCATATGAATAATTCAAAATCTTTTCTTTGAAGTCAGCATTCTATTTGACTGACAGATTGTTGCTCGCTTAACACCAAGCAACATTTTATTTGAGTTAACTTACTGAAATGAGACAAAAATTCAAACACAAACCTGGACACATCAGAAGAAACAACAAATTAAGCACACACACTAGAGACAAGCTCTTAATTACCCGTAATCTTTAAAGCTGTAAATATACACAGCAGATGGAACCAAGTATCTCACAAACTAAAAATCTTGAACACAGGCTTTAATAAAAATACACTGGTGTATTGAATATTAAACATTAAAAATAAAAAAGTAAATAACAACATGATGTTTACAAAGACAGTTTTATCAAACTGTGCTACTCTGTACAATAGTTTTTTTTTAAAAACCCAATTATAAGGAACTTTTGCAAAAAACACCTTATACTTATAAGACATCATAATATTTCCTTTTTTTCTCATATATCTTATTAAAGTTTCCGTTAACAAATGTCTATTTACACTCTGAAAAACCGAGAAAAACTGAACCTCTTTCAACATTTTAAAGATTAATACCATGCATAATACATTAACATATATCACTATAAATAACGCTTTATAATTTGTGTTTATATTAAAAGTGCAAACCTTTTATCATTCATTATACTAAATTACTTTATATTTGTAGTAATTGCAACTGTATCTTTTATTTATTTTAGTTAAACTACATTTTGTATATGCCAAAACAATTTTTTGTTAATTTTGAAGAATTGAGGAAAGAAAAAAATCTACCTGGTAAATTGTTATTAAATGTAACAAGAAATGTTCAACTTTTGAAATATCTAATTAAAATCGTGTAACTCTTCCTTCTGTACTGATATAATATAACGAATGTGTAAAAATTGGTCCAATGGGTACAAATATCAGGTAAGTCAACAATCAATATGTCATATAGAAATACAAATGTATTTATGGTAATAAACTTTAAATGAGAAATAAGAAAAGGAAGTAATACCATTGAACACTTTATAGGGTGTTAACATCCAAATCTAATCAAATTTACTTCCCAGACAGATCTGTTTTTTTTTACCATCATAGGTAGCAATATGTTTAAAATCTGATTAAATCAAAGATTACGTAAAAGTCTGAATCTTATCTGACAAAGAAAGAGGAATACAGGGAGTAAACCTCATCTTAGATGACCTAGCAACAAAGTGTAATGTTGTTGTCAAAATATTATAATGCTTACACTTAATGTGAAATTTAAAACTTTAACAATGTATATCCGTTATGGTTTTCACAAATTTGCTTAACTTGACAATAAAAGGGTAAAAACTCCAAAATGGGTTGTTTGATATTTCTGAAGATTTCAGGTACATGTACATGGAGATACTAAGGTCTTGACCTGCAAATAATTTTTAACCATATATGCAAGTTTTGCTCTAACTCGCAAATATTTCATGCATATTCAGGATGAGAACAATAAATCTAATACATGTACATGTACATAAAGGATGGGGAATTTGGACTTCCACTGAAAATAGAAAATAAATTGGATATGGGTCAAAATTTTGCCTTGCAGCATGCCACATATAGATCCCTAATAGATTTGTTGAAAGGGTTCTTTAACATAAATTTAGCTTGGAACTGTCCCTAAACAAGGCATCTGATTTAATTTCCATATTGCAGCTGATCCTTAATGTGTAACAAAACATCATGTTCCATTGAAGCGACATCACTTGTGCAGACCATATTACCTCTCAGTCGAAAAAATCCCTCCAATTTCTAAATTTAGTGGTTCCCTTGAGGGTGAAAACAATTGACGCACACGTGAATGGGACAACAAACCAATGACATCAAGACGTCATAGTCTTCAAATGCTTTAATACCATTCCCAAGGCAGCAGCACTTTATTATACATGTATCAAAATAGATAAATATTTACGGCTTGAAATAGAAATTATAAAGTTAATGACAACTTTCACATTATTGCTTATGTTATTACGTGATGTAAATTGAATTTGAGTTATTTCCCTTGGCCACCATTTTATTTAAAGGTGTAAATGGTTGATCTTCTTATTTAAATAACCAAATTGAAAGATGTGGTACAAACAAGTCTGATAAAAGATCATTACTAGATCGTAGTGATGAACAAAGGAAGGATAAAAAAAACTCAAAATTAATCAGAAAACAACTTATTCTAAAGTCATGAGTTTAGTACGTAATGTGAGTATGTTTCCAATGGGTCTGTGGTCTTCCGGTTGACGGTTGTATACCCAAAATCTGAGATATTGGACAACTACATGTACATCAATATAAACAAAACATTTATTTAGAAGGCATACAGGGATCTCCATGACCTGTTTTATGATGGCGCACCACCACCGTTAAATCATCTTCCGCCATCATTAAATTGTCTTCTAACATCATAAAAAAAAACGCTATTGTTAAATATCTGCACTGATTGAAAGGTGTTATCAAAATTTGTTTACGTTTCGCTAACCGTCACCATTTTTGTAAGCAATTATATGTAATTGCACAACTCCTATTGTATTATAATTGTATGTATAATAAGGGTCCTCCTGATATCTGTTTTAAGGCCCTGAGGGATATACATGTATCCCACTAACGATCACTAATCACTTGCACAGATATTTCAAGACACCTGACAGGGGAACACTTGACCAAGAGTGACTATCAACTGCATTATTTAATTACTTTTTCAGCAAATGCTTATGAAAATTTAGATTAAAAAATAAAATTTAAATTCAATTACGAAAAAAAAAAGTTTAGCAAGTTGAACACATGCTTTTACTGATTTACGCAATCAGCATCCCCCTTTTTAAACGAGTACAAGGTTATACTCTTTTTCGTAAAACAGAACATAATTTCATGCCAAATAACAACAATTATCGATCACAATAAACCACTTCAGTAGTTTAAAAGTACAAAATGTAAATACTTGAATATCAATTGCAACTTGATAATCTGAAGAAATTTTGTATCCTAATTTCGAACTCAATTTGTATCATTAATACATCTGGTTTACTTTCAGAATCCAAAGATGCATATTACTGTGGAATTTGTAATTATAAAACATTAAAAATATTGGTTATTCTATAATGAAATGAATATTAAACAATATATCAAAGTATTCAATATTCCTTACAACATGTACAATGAAATATAGAATGGAATATTTTTTATCACAAAATGCAAGGATTTGTACTAGTTAAGAGTTCCTCCTTCGTGAAATTTTCATCCATGGAGATCCCAGCTGGGCATACATGTATGGTTGAATATAATCATATAAAAACACAATGAATATAAAAGTATGGTAGCAGCTAGTCTACTTGTTGCCTTATGAAATGTTCTACATGTATAACAGAAAGCCAAATAATGATTGTCTGCTTATTTCAAATCCTAAGCGATTAGACTGCACAATGACTCTATGAGTGAATTATATTTATATTTCCATGGGACATTAAGACAGGCCTGGATGACAGGGATGTCAGAACCTGCAAGAAACAGGAAGTAACCCAACAAGTTATTTACATGGCCAGTTTTGTAAGAAATAGTTATGGAACTAAAAACTAAAAATAATACTATCTTTATGCAATATCCCCAAATAAATAATCTCACCAAGTAAACAGTGACCATCGTCACAAGTATACAAATAGAATTTGGCTGGTTTATTAAGAAATATTTCCTTGTTCGAACAAGGTGATGATATAGAAATAACTCTTGCCCAAATTGCAACAATACACCTTATCGCTATTTGTCCGCCATTACTGGACATCAAACAGGTTCCAGTAAAATTTTGACGTCATAATACAAAATATCTGACGCCACATTAAAAAAGTGATTGTTGTATGACGTCAATAGTTCAAGCGGGACAGATTCTCGGGTCAGCCGGGAATAGCGATAAGGTGTATGGAAAACTATCTATTCCAACCAGCTTCAGATGTACGGAATAGAGCTGTACAAATGCAGGTGCAAAATACACTTCTTTGTCAGAGGTGTGGTATTGGTTCTGATTCCTAAAAACAGTTAACAGGGCTAGATACAATGTATGGCATTCTGTGAGTGGCCTAACTAGTAATTACTCAAGACTCACAATCCAAAAGTATTTTCAGTACTTGTTTAAAAATATAGGCTGTAGTAGTTTACAGTTATTCCCCTTGCCCTTCACGTGAGATATATATATCATTCCTTTAAAATCGATTATGTCGTCAAAATGTGAATTCTATATGGCATATTGGTCTCATTTTTTGACGAAAGGATAATATGCACACGTGTGCTGTTGAAAGGCACTACCAATGTACCATGTCACTGTCACAGTGTCAGGCTGTCACACCTGTCAAAGCATTTCTCGAACGAAGCCGTCAGTTTCTTACCTTGTACACTTTTCCAAAAGCTCCATCACCAATTTCTGCTAAAATTTCCCATTGATTCTTCGGGTCAATTTCTCTTTTTATATTTTTGTACAATTCTTTTTTCTTATTTTTTAAATCGTCCTCACCGCCAAGACGGAACAACTTTTTAAAGCTGGTCAAAAATGACATGTTTACGTCTTACGGAAACTAGAATGCAAAGACAAGAAATTGTTAATTGAAAACATGTAAATACAGTGTTATGATTTCATCTGAATGTGCTACATAGTTCAATGTGGACATGGAAATGTTTTCTTTTCAAGGACCAGTTTCTTCAGCGGAAAGTCGACATATTTATATTTTTGACGCATGCGTTTTGTCAATGTTCTGACATCATTTTACTTCCTGTCTCTCTTCCTTGTAAGGGTTATTTCCCTTTGTGTGGAGAATTTTAGGTTCTAACCTAGCTTTTCTTGGAGAACTTGTTAGATTTCCGTTAAATATTTTTCAGTTGTATTATTAATGATGAAACATTGGTTTAGAATTGAAAAAAATATGGATCATTATGGTTTATTGTATGATACATTTATGTTTACAAAAACATGTTTACTTATAATAATATCGACTACTGGTATTCGTCCATACATTATATTTTTGATAAGCTTAATATTCAAAATTCAGATGTTAATATAAAAAAGAAGATGTGGTATGATTGCCAATGAGACAACGCTCCACAAGAGACCAAATGACACAGAAATTAACAACTATAGGTCACCGTACGGCCTTCAACAATGCCGGAGCAAAGCCCATACCGCACAGTCAGCTATAAAAGGCCCCGAAATGACAATGTAAAACAATTCAAACGAGAAAACCAACGGCCTAATTTATGTACAAAAAATGAACGAAAAACAAATATGTAACACATAAACAAACGACAACCACTGAATTACAGGCTCCTGACTTGGGACAGGCACATACATACAGAATGTGGCGGGGTTAAACATGTTAGCGGGATCCCAACCCTCCCCCTAACCTGGGACAGTGGTGTAACAGTACAACATAAGAACGAACTATAAAAAACAGTTGAAAGAGGCTTAACTCATCAGATGGATAAAAATACAAATACTGACAAATACAAGTGGACGTGGCCGGGTACTTGTACATCCAAACAACAAAAAGACACTAAGTACAGATCTGAGAGTACTCGCAGTTACTGACAGCTAGTTCAAAGCCACTAACAACTAATAAAAAAAATCATGCATCTAAGCTGGGACTATTATACTAACGTTAGTATAATAGTCCCAGATCTAAGACTAAAGCTTTTAACTTTCATATCAAGTCAGTTAAGCAAAAACTTTGTAAAAGTTTTACTAAGTTAAAATTTTAGAACAAAACAAGAACAGATACAAAATGCAGTAAATTAGATACTTATTTCTAACTAAAAACTTGTTTTTCTAATAAAAATTTATCGATTGAGAAGTGTCATATGTAAAATGAGAATCAGTGCCAATGATCTCAAAATAGAATGAAACAGATATAAAACTTCATACAATGTATATAGAAAGAGCTCAAAGGTTTTGTAAGAAATGTACGTACTCGTGATACAATGATGAAAGAGAGATAGAGAGATATTTTTTCAAAGAGATCAGCAATATTTTTCATAATTTTTCAGATCTTTCAAATGAGACAAAATGATTCAAAATTTGTTTGGTTATTTACTAATAAAAATCTGTCTGTCCTAAATATTTAGGAATTATATTATTAAATGTCGAGATCATATGATCATGATGATGTTAGACGAAACGTGAATTTATGTTTTCTGCTCTTTGCCCACGATCGTGTTGTCTCTTTGACATATTCCCTATTTCCATTCTCAATTTTATTAATAACCGTGATGATTGTAACGATTTAATGGTTCTGGTGCCGCCTGGAATAAACGACCTATAACTTTTACTTATTCTTTCATATATACCAAGATTTGGGTTGGAAGTTTGGTTGTACCCGTAGAAATCTTCTTTACGACAAACGAGGTATCATATCATTATTTTAACGGTAATGTTGTTATAAAAGGTTCGTTAAATAACATCCTACACATGTAACTTTAGGTCCCTTCAATAGAAGTTCTTAATTGTTTTCAATTATATTTGTAGTATAAGATATTTGAAAATTGTCTTTATTGGTACTAACATAAATTTAACTTCCAATAGTTTCATATATAACTTATCATATGTTGCTATCAAATTATTATTTTAAAAAACTTGTGATCCTGCTGATCATGCATGTTGATACTTATATTTTGGCATTGCACAAGGGCATGCTTTTCTGAGACTGCTTATAGCGTCGTAAACTAAATCCGATGGAGGTGCACTGATTGATATTTTAGTCTGAAAAAAAAACAAGATCTGTTTAATTTATTAGTTGGAATTCGACTTTGGACTAAGTTCTAGTAACTGTGAGTACTCTTAGATCGGTACTTTTTGTTTTATGCCATTTTGTAAGTTGTATTTGGCTGTGCTAAGTATCGATTTAATGAGTCAGCTCTTTCATTTGATTTTTATATTTTGTTATAATTTTGCGCAAGACACAACTAACTAAGGTTACTGGATGGGCCTGTCACAAGTCAGGAGCCTGTTATCCAGTGGTTTATGTTGGTTGCCGTCTGCCATAAATGTTTTAAGTGTAATGTTATTAACTGAACTCTGATCGTTAGTTTTCTCTTTACAATTCTCAAATGCCCATACCGCACAGTCAGCTATAAAAGGCCCCGAAATGACAAATGTAAAACAATCCAAAACGAGAAAACTAACAGCCTAATTTATGTACAAAATAATGAACGAAAAACAAATATGTAACACAGCAACAAACAACAACCACCGAATTACAGGTTCCTGACTTAGGACAGGGACATACAGAATGTGACGGGGTTAAACTAGTTTGAAGGCGCCAACCCTACCCCTAACCTGGGACAATGGTGTAACAGTACAACATAAGAACAAACTATAAAAATCAGTTGAAAGAGGCTTAACTCATCAGATGGATAAAAATACAAATACTACAAATACAAGTGGACGTGGCCGGGTACTTGTACATCCAAACAACAAAAAGACACTAAGTACAGATCTGAGAGTACTCGCAGTTACTGACAGCTAGTTCAAAGCCAATAACAACTAATAAAAAAAATCATGCATCTAAGACTAAATTATCAATCAGTACACATCCAACATCCAATAGATTTAGTGTAAAGACGTCATAAACAGTCAGAGAAAAACATGACTTTGTGCAATGCCAAGATACAGGTTTCTACAGATTGTAGAGCCATGAATGTGCATATGTATATAACAATAATAATTAGTTTGATTTTAATTTACTGATAACAAAATCAATATTAATACCAATAAAAACAATATTCAAAGATCTAATTACAGTGTTGAAATGGTAACCTTTTCGAATTAGTTTATTTAAAGGATCGATAAGTTTACCCAGATCGTTTCTAAATTTCCGGGCTTGGAAAACAACATCTCCGTAAAAATGAGGATGTGCTATCACGTTTGAAATAAGTTTTCTACAGGTACAACCAAACTTCAAAACCAAATCTTTATATCTATGGAAGAATTCAGTAAAGGTTTTAAATAATTTGTGGTAACGAAATCCCTGACTTGATAATTTACCAGTAATACATAGATTACGTTCATTAAAATCCAAAACGTCACAACAGACACGGGCATAGCGAACGAGTTGTGATATATAAACACCGTAAGATGGTGCCAAAGGAACATCACCATCCTAAAAACGGAAAATTAACAACAGGGAACGAAAAATCGTCCCTTTTGTCGTAAATTGTAGTGTAGAGTTTCCCGTGTAAAACTGAAATGTCTAAATCTAGGAAAGAACAGTTATTACCGTTTATATTTGATTCATTTAAAGTAAGTTCCTTTGGGTAAATTTCGGCAGTATATTTATAATATTCTTGATTATTTAACGAAAAAATATCATCAAGATAACGGTAAGTGTTGTTGAATTTATCAATTAAATGCAATTTAAATGGGTGTTTACTGAGCTTGGTCATAAACTGTGATTCATAACAGTACAAGAACAAGTCTGCTATTAAAGGGGCGCAATTGGTGCCCCGATGATAGGAATACCTACAACCTGTCGATAAACTTTATCGCCGACACGTACATAAATATTATCAAGGAGAAAGTTAACAGTCTCAATAATCTCATCACACCTCCAGTAAGTATATCTAGCATATTTACCTTTCTCATTAGAGAAGAAGGCTTTAAATGAGTTGCAGCAAATATTAATTAAATAGGAAAACTTTTGTTTGATAAGATTGTGTGGAAGTGTAGTGTAAAGAGTTGAAAAGTCAAAACTGTCAACAGAATCTAAAGGACCATCAAAAGCACGTAATTTATCTAAAACATCCAAAGAATTTTTTACACTCCAAAAATGGTTAATTCCACTATTTTCATATATTTTATTACAAAAGTTAATGATAAGTTCTTTGATAGTAGTTAAGGAACTAGTTAAAAGCACTGAAAGATTAGTTGTAGAACACTTACTAGAGATCGAGATGAAACGATATTTTACTGGGTTTTTTTTTGTGTAGTTTAGGCAACCAATACATAGTAGGGACCTTCAAATGTTCAGAAGAGGCCTTAAGCTGTGATGTGGATATGATATGTTTGTTTACTATATGACTCTATGAGGAGCGCACGGACTTGAATGTAGATGAATTTAAAATTTCATTCTTAAGAACGTCCGTGTAGTATTTACGGCACACCACCACCACATTGTTGGCTGCTTTTTCAGCCGGTACAAACTCAAACCGCTTTGAAAGTACTTGAAGTTTGTTTCTTATTCTAGAAATAGGGGTATTATGTACTCTTTTATTTGTTTCTGAATTATTTTCAAAATGTGATATTCGAATATCCACAACATTCATGCATTTATTTAAATAAGAATCAAGAGATTTTTTATCAGATTTTGCCCGTTTTTACACAAATTTTTACAATACGATGAAAGAGCGTCTTTTGTGATAGTTTGGTCATGTTTTCAAAAAGTTTTTAACCTCTCGGTCTTGAACAATATTGAGGTCCCTCGTAATAATATGCCATAAGGATCATATCTAAAATTCGACGATTCACAGTTTCAAATTAATAGAGAGTATTATTTTCTACATTGACGTCTGATGTTACTGACGTATAATTAATAAACAGCTGCGCCATGAGCGCATGATACGCCCGTCGCTTTTTCAAAGAATAAAGTTTAATAACTTCTCAATGTTATATCAGAAATTTATGAACTAAAGGGAGGTTATCTTGATGGATATAAACCAGTCACCAAAGCACTTTGAAGATATTGTCCGAAAAATGGAAAAT